TGCTTTCCAGGGGGTGCTTCCACCAGAATTGTCAGGGGGTCTTCACATGGTCAGACTGGGTGATAAAACTTCCCCAACCCCCACTGAGAGATCTCTAGTATATGTTCCATCCACTTCTATAAGGGGGAACTTTACAGCTTCCTTCTACAACCCTCCACTTTAAAAACGATTCTTCTGAGAATGTTTGTAATGAATGTAATTGCTTGATTCCTCGATGTGATTGGACTAATTTTGGCAATCATTCTTTCTCCTCTATGTCTCAGTCTTGCCAGGTCAGTTTTAGACATTGACCATGTTTGTGCTATGGCAGATAAAGGAAGATAAAGAGATCTGCAGGTGAATGTGGAAATTCAAGGTTAAAGAAAAGATGTTGATGTGAACTGAATCATCAAGTTAATCTTTTTCTTTTCCCTCAAATACTAAGATATCTTAATACTAGAAACCTCTGTCTTTATAGCCTGCTGGGTTAATAAAATGACAGAATAAATTAAATTTGGACTAAATTTAATATTATTCTAGTACAACAATACAGTTGCCTCCCCCCTGCATCTCCTTCCCCCCAAAAATATCCTGTCTGTGGAAGATGAGTTGTTACCAAGAAAATGAAAATATCCAAATGTATACATTTTATTTTGGAAAACAAATTTATGCCAAGGATAAGAACATATATAAGAAACTTCACATAAAACAGAAAACATTATTTATGATTTAAGAACATTCTAACTTGAGTGTTGAAAATTCATTCAGAAAAATTCATTAAGTTTAAAAAGAAATTTAATGAATTTTTCTGAATGAACCCATGTATGACATGAATCTTAGGATACATACATTCATTACCTATATTACAAATAAGGAAAATTATAGTAGGTGATGGGTTAGGTTAGAAAGAAATATAAGAAATTCTCTAAAATATTAACAGAGTTACCAGATCCATTTTTATCGTATATCAGAGAATTTGTTTATGCATCTTTCTCATGGTATATTTTGTATTTTTTAATAAAACTGTCCTTTTAATTAAATATAGGGTACTGACAGAGCAAGAGCAATATATAAATTCTTTTTTTTTTCATTCTTCACCACCTATTTAATGTTATTTTTATTCTACATATGTATGTACTTTGTGATATTTGTAAGACTTATGTTGAAAATTTTTACCTTCTGAAGATTTGGTATTTGCTTTTTATTCTTCATTTTAAGAATAAGTTGAACTTTACACTGGTTAAAAAAAGGAAAACACCTTATAAAGCATGTGAGGAATGATTAGCTTCTCTTATTTTATATTTCATTAAGTCCTGCAAGAAGATAATCTATATAATAATGAGAAATAAAATTTCAGCATGAACTAGAAGTTTTTACCTTCTAGATTGCCACCCAAAATGTGTCTCCAATCCACTGGATCTCAAATTTTGTGTGCATTAGGATTATTAGAAAGGCTTGTTAAAACACAAACTCCTTTACCCCCTCCCAGATTCTTCTGATTTAGGAGGTCTGTGATGAGGTCCAGAAACATATTTACTTCTAATGAATTCCCAGGTGCTAATGCTGCTGGTTTAGGGACCACATTTTGAGAACCACTTCTTTTACCTACTGCTTATTATCGAAAGATTGCAACTCAAGGTAAGGCAAAATTGCAGAAAGCATTCTTCTTCTTCTTCTTCTTCTTCTTCTTCTTCTCCTTTTTTTTTTAATATATAGAGATTGGTTTGGAAATTCTTTAAAAATGAAAACATCTGAAAAAAATGAAATAATGTAAGTTATAAGCTCACTCACTGTAGAGATGTTATTCAAAATAAACATAAATGCAACACTTTATTAAAGTAAAAGTATCTTTACTATTAATATACAAATGGTGAAGAGTGACCATTTTGATATACTGTAAGCCATACTTTCAATGTCTCTCATAAATACAAAACTTCAACATTTGCAGTATAATTTTTACAGTTTAGACATATATATACAGCATTTCATAGGGACATACCATATTGAAACAATAAGAAAACTTTGTGGTAGCTAACTTAAGAATATAGGATTTGAATGGACATACACTTTAAAGAAAATACAAGTATGTTTTAATGCATACTGAACACAGCATAGAATTCATACACCAAAAGAAAAAAAAATAGTTTTTTAAACTTTATTTGTAAGAAGTTTACATATTCCTAACAGTTTAGAGGCAAAAATGCTAAACCATGAACATTCCTTTAAGAATTGGAACAAATATATTTGCTCTTAACAGTACCATTTATTGTATATAATGCATATTGTTCTTGAAAAAAATCCTACCTGCAAAATTGAATATTAGGTTCTATGTTAACTATCTCCTCCGCATTTCACTTGCCTTTCTCTTTGCATCAGTAAAATTGACCTTAGTTTTTATCCAAGCAGTGTTCCTAGTCCCTGGCCCAGCTCATTTCACACGAAAATCCTTCTTATCTACCCCAAATGTAGGAGTTCAGTTTGCCTTTCTTGATTCTCTCAGTTCTTTGTTCCTCTATTCTCATACACCTGGCTGTGATTTGAAATGCTCCAAGTCATTGCATTGTTAATTTTTTCCTAAAGAAGGCTAAAACCAGATGCAACTTTTCATGTGTTATGTGTTTTTGTTTTAGAAAAAAACAACAATATCAAATTTATATAACCAATTTTATATTAATAATTATGAATATACTGTGGCCAAAATCCTAAAAATTATATAAAAAATTAAAGTGGTGGTACGAGCTAAGGTATTTAAGTTATTGATAAAATTCTATAGTGAATAATGAACTATTTTTAAGAATATTAAATGTGTTATCAAATAAATATTAAGTATTACATATAATATAAAAGTTTGGGAGGGGAGATAATCTATTAGCATTCTCATATAATGTTGTTAAACAGATGCATCTACATGGGTAAATGCAATTTTTTTAAAAAAGAGAGTAAGGGCATGGAAGGAAATTGTATTTGTTCAGCAAGTACTACATCTAGGCTCTTTTATAAGTTTCCCATTTACACATATGATTTTTTCATCTCAGAACATGATTAAGCCCATGAGTAGAATACTTTCTTGAAAGATTTTCATTTTAGGATGGAAGTACTTTATTTCTTTGACCTTTCATAGTTAAGTTTAGCATACCCTAATACTTCTGCATGCAATTTCAGTGTAAGAGACAATGTAATAACTCTTCAAAGGATTAATGCAAAGATTCAAATCTTTCCTCTCTACAGATAAATAATGCAAACAATTCATTTAAAAAAATAGCTTTATCTACTCCTAAAGTTTGTTGAGTAAGCACTCTGGATATGATTTGGGAGAAAGAACTCCATGAGCAACTGAAATTGGCCCTGGACATCATACTTCATGAAAACAAATTGTAACTTTAATAAGCAACTGTAATATGCTATTCTCATATTTTTCAAAATTAAGAAATGGAGATTATTTAATTATTTAAATTAAGAAATGGAGATAATTCTTTCTATTACTTCTGGTGTAGATATTTTTATCAGTGGTTATCTTACCATCATAAAGGATGATGTATGATCCCCAGATAAAAGCACAACAGGATAATGTAGACCCAGGTGACACTAAAACAATTTATCTTATCTTAAAATATCATCTGTTGTCATTGTCTCATAAATGGTAGAAATCAATTTTAACAATATCTAGAATATTTATTATCTAGAACAACAATATAGACAAAATGAAATATATTTTATGTGTGCATCAAAAGAATTGTTTTGTCATGAGTGAAAATAAGTTCCATGGTATAATTTGTTATATTTAGATTTTGTATTCAAGGTAAAGTAATTTGAATTGAGCTTATTCACTAAATGTAAATAAGTCAGTACCATTTAAGTCTCACAGATATGAGCAAAATACATCAATAAAGTTTGCAGGTTTTTTTTCTTTTAATAAAGCATAATGTCATGCTAATCCAAGGCACAAATACATCTTAATTATTTAAAATAAGAAGCATAAAATAAAGGTATTATTATAAACTTACAATTAATTGTTGGTGCTCAAATAAATAATTTGATTAATAAAATCCTTCTATTTATATAAATGTTTAAATCAAAGCCTAAGATTCATGTAAACTTTGCTGGATCAAATAGTCTTTGAAAAATGTTTTTATAGGTATTAATATTAAAAATAAGGGGAAACTAGAAAAACATTACATTAATGTTAGACATTAGCATCAATAGAATGGCAACAAATCAATCCACAAAAATAATAAATAAATTTTTAGGAGTCACAATTCTAAATTCTTTTGAAGAGCATTGTAAAATACATTGACACATTAATTTGTGCCAGTTTTAGAAACAGAACATTTATCAAAATGCTGATATTACTATTCTTTCTTATATATTATTGAATATAGATTGTCATTGCCTAATTGCACATAATCTATCAAGAAATACCAATATTTTTAGTGATATTTTTCTTCTTTGTTTAAATTAGCATAGGGTTCTGATAATTTAACCCTACTTATATTCAGTCAACTCTTTTGACATTTTATACTAACATTTAAGAGTACCCTCAGACAGTAAAAATAACATTTTTACAGTACTATGGCATGTTTAATCTAGAATAAGAATGAAAAATAAGAACAGATTATTTCAGTTCTACTCTTGTTTTACAATTTACTACACGCAGCTCTTATTTGGAAACTTTTACAGATATAGTAAGTTGGAGCATTCCATTCACATGTTATTATTATTATTATTTATTATTATTATTTTAATCACAGTATTGCCTTGCTCCTGCATGGTACAGATTTCAAGGACAAGAGATAAGGATCACTCAGACAACTGAAGCAGTGCACTTGAAACAGTCAGACTAAAATTAGTTTCAAATTAGCTGCTAACCTCAGATTATTACTCCACATTAGTGGCAAGAAATTTAATAGCATATATATGCATATGTGTGTGTATATATATATATGTATATATATAAAAGAAATATTTAAGTAAATTGCTTTACACGGAAAGTCCAAAGAAATGCGAGAGACAGAACTTTCAAATTGAAGAAACACAAAAATATTTGTTCTTTATTATGATTTCTCTGCTCTTGAAGTATAGCACAAATATAATAATAGTAAACATGCTGAACTGGTTTCTCAGTTTTCCTAATTCTTTCACCATTATTAGTTTAAAGCCAGCCCTATCCAGGAAAAAATAGCATTCATGGCTATTGCTTTATGGACATTTTACTAAGCCTGTGAACTTTGCACAAACAAATTCAAGTACTTTAATTAGTTATAGCACATTGGTACAAAAGGGGAAAAAAAACAGTCAGATAAAGCAAACAGGTGATCAGACAAACATAACTTAAATAGTAACAGTCAAATCTATCAAAAGACCAGTTGGATAATTTCTACTCAAATTCCTAGGTAGGCACAGGAATTCTTTTTCTCAGAATATGCCAGAAAAAAATACTAAGGGGGAGATTCCTGCACTATAATCCTGTGAATTATGGCAACAACATTGGAGCTTTAGTGCACAAACATGCAGACAGACACATTCTGTCCTGCTAATGATTAAAGGTTTGTAAAATTAGTTGGTTGTCTCTCCTTGACTGACAGTTTCTAGCACTTTGTAAATAAAAGTGTTGATGAGTAGCATAAATATTTCATCGAACATATTCATCAAATTTTCTCTTTAGAGAGACACATTAAGCAGGTTGCTCTGCACTGTTAAAACTCTCCTCCAATGTTCTATTGGTATGCATTCCCCAACCAGTCAATATTTGAGCTATAATACCACCTGAAAACACTAAAGATTATGAATGTAATGGGGCCTAAAGAAACCTTTGGCTCTCTAGGGTAACAAATAATCTAAAACTTGCTCCCAACTGGTATGTATATTTATAATCATAAATATATTTATTTTACCATACATATGAGGGAAAATCATGTTTTAGTCTTTTACCTCTGGGAGCTTGCATAGCTTGGAAGTTAATAAGTATTGTATTCTGGTATAGGCCCTAACAAGTAACATTAGAAAGTTTGTGTTGAATAGCCAAAGAATTTCTTCAACCAAAGTTGTTTATCAAAATCTTAAAATGACTTCTAGCTACAACATCCAGAAGAAGAACAGATAGTGGCAATTCAGGTGTTTATCACTAATACTTTAATGGCATGTTTAAATGTTATTTTCTTCTTTGTTTAACCACTCAGGATTTTAATTTCCATTAGCCGATTACATTTAATGATTGACCTGTAAAACTGGGGAAATGAATATTTAAATAAAGATCATCTAAAACAATGGTCAAAAATGTATCTGAGGATATGGTTTGAAGTATTTCAACACTAAGGACTTTTTTTTGATAAAATTATTTAAAAAGTAAAAGGTAATCACATATCTATAAATATATCAAGACAACATTGATATTGTTACCATTTCAATTTACTTTATTTGAAGCTGAGGGCAAAAATCAATATTATTTTCACTTGCAATACATTTTTTGTGTAATCCATTGTGAGTGATTATGGCATATATAAAGAGAGAGATTTACTGAATCTTTCTAATCTAATTTTACACACAACTAGTATTCATTCAAATGGGTAACGATTTTGATCTGGCACTTTAGTCTATCAAAAATTAACATTGAAGTAGCACTGTAACTATAACTTTAAAAGAATTTTCCAAAATTTCTCTCAATTTTTAATATCTGCTATAGATAATGGCTCCTTCAAGCCCAAGTTCCCTGAAATTCTCCTGAAAAATAGTGTACCCTTTATTAACTGTTTTCATCTTAAACTGAAATCCATGTTAATAATCTGTTTGCCCAAGATAGTATGAAAAACATGCAGGGCTTTCTTATACATTTAGCTCACAAAGCTTTTGTTTTCTTTTGTTGATTCTTAAACCCTAATTTGTTGGAGAGGTTGTTGGATGAAATATATAGTCCTAAAGAAACAGAGCACTTTAACTGTATAACAAATTGCAGTATTTCAATCACAGAATCAAATTGATACCCAAGAGTTGGTGCCAGTCAGGTCTCTATATTGAAATTCATAACAAAATAAACAACAACAATAACAACAACAACAAAAGGTAATGGACCATGGGCAGGAATATTTGATCATATGTATATGTGTACAAGCTATTCCAAGCTAGAAGTTTCCCAAGAAATTAAGGTCAATGGAATAGTTTTGGTCATAGGGTCACTGCAATCTAAATGCTCTGTGTAGCATTGTTCAAGCCTTTGTGATCTTGGTGTTATGCTTTGCTGTCGTCTTCTTTTGATTGTATGATGTCATTAGAAACCTTAATTTCTATAGTTTCTGGATTTAAGACTTCTTTTCCATTTTCTTCTTTTAAAGGCAATTTTCTGGAAGGAAATAGAAAAATAATGAACTTCATTTTCTAAGGCAATTTGAGTGGTATTCCTTGATACTAAATTACTGTCTTACAGAAGGCAGTGTCTATAATCATTAGAAAAAAAATAGATTTGTTAAAGTCATATCAAAATGATAAAAAATAATTAAATAATCAGATAATATTGTCCTTTGTAAAAATGTGATGTACTGCAGAATGATGAATGAAACAATGTATCTGTTGATTTAAATGCATCAAATCATTCACTATAGGGTGGCTTGGATTTGATAATCAGTTATTGATACAGAAAATAGAATGGTTTGGATTCTAAACAAGACAGCATCTTTATATGTCAATTAGATGAGTTACTAGTACCTAAGTTTTTTCAAATAAAAGTCCTTAAGAGTTGCTGCCATGTTCTGTTACATACTTCAAAAGCTGGGTGAATAAGCTATATTCTTTGGAACTTAATGAAAGTATGCATTTCAAGACTTTCTCACTTTTCTACATTTATTGTAGATGTTTTCTTTAATTAACCTCTTTCACTATTATTTTTTGTTGTTATTTCTGTATCGATTATGAGTACATTTTTTAAGAGTTGTTATCAATTAAAATCTATTAAGGAGCGGCGCCTGGGTGGCTCAGTGGGTTAAAGCCTCTGCCTTCGGCTCAGGTCATGATCCCAGGGTCCTGGGACCGGGCTCTCTGCTCCGCGGGGAGCCTGCTTCCTCCCCTCTCTCTCTCTGCCTGCCTCTCTGCCTGCTTGTGATCTCTCTCTCTCTGTCAAATAAAAAAAAAAAAAAAAAAAAAAAAAGAAAGAAGCTTCCCTCTTTTAAAAAAAAAAAAATCTATTAAGGAAAATAAGCTTTCTTTCTTTCTCTCTTTCTTTCTTCCTTTCAGATTTTATTTATTTATTTGAGAGAGCAAGAGCAGGGGAAGGGGAAGAGGAAGAGAGGGAAGCAGACTTCCCACTGAGTGAGGAGCCTGATGCAAGGCTGGATCCCAGAACTCTGGAATCATGACCTGAGCTGAAGGCAGTTGCTTAACTGACTGAGCCACCCAGGTACTGCTTTATTTCTCAATGATAGCTTCACAACTCTTACTATGATGACAATGATGCAAGATATGTTTTTTCTACCAGTTCTGAATTCAATAGTTTATGATTACTCCTTATGTACACAGCTTTGGGGTTAAGATTTCCCCCCTCGACAAGATATTTTTTCCACATCAAAAACAAATTCCAGTTCAATTTTGTACTTTAATGTCACCATTTAGTGGGGGTAGTGAACGTTACTATGCCAGTTTCTCCAGAATTTACTTGTAATTTCTTTTCTATTTTTGAATGGGAAGAGCAAGCCATTAAATTCTGAAGATCAAAGCTATTATGTGAAAATTAACCAGTCAAAAGTAAAAGTTTTGGTAAAAGTTACTATGACCCGTTCCTGGTAATGAAATAGCATCTACTTTGTACCTTATAGGGCATGTTCTTTTATGTGTATTATAAATAATGTCTTCACAGTTCTTCCATTCTTCCATTTGGTAAACTTTGATTAAAAAAAAAGGTAAAACCAATGTGTCACCTCTAAGCAGCAAAATATAGAGAAATATAGAGAAATTTAGAGCTTGGATAAGAGGTTATCATGATGCTTAATATATCTCTTACTCAAAGAATTATAACACTGGAATTAACCAGTGTTTTCAAATATTTATTAGATGATAAATTTTTGCATATATAATTTTCACTACTTCAATTTATGTTAAATTGGTTTTTTTTTTAATTACAGTTGATTCTATTATTTTTTGTTGACTATTTTCTATAATTGAGGGTTGGAGTAGTTATTGATCATCTTTTTTGTTTTGTTTTATTTTTTGCACAATATTGCCCCGTCACATGTAAAGGCATTTTCTTAGCTAGTTTTTTGTTTGGTCTGGTTTTGTTTGCATTTTTAAGTTTATATATATTAAGTTTATATATGCCTATAGGTAGTTTATATATACCTAGTTCTTGGCTAGTTTTCATATATAAACATATATATATATACACACACACGCACACACACACACACACCTCCCTAGTTCTTGGCTAGTTTACATACACACCAACATCTCATTGTAGGTGTTAATCAATAGATAGAAATTTGCTTTATTTACATTTTTAAAAAGATATTTATTTATTTATTTATTTATTTGACATAGAGAGAGAAATCACAAGTAGACAGGGAAGCAGGCAGAGAGAGAGGGGGAAGCATGCCACCAGCTGAGCAGAGAACCCAGGACCCTGAGATCATGACCTGAGCCAAAGGCAGAGGCTTAACCCACTGAGCCACCCAGGTACCCCAGTTTTATTTATTTATTTGTTTACTTGTTTGTTTTATTGTGTAAAATTTTGCTTCATTGAAAAGACTTCTAATTTCTGAAGGGAAAACTACAGAACCCACCAGGTAAAAGCTGCCTCTACCAGAGTAAACTTCCATTTAATAGGTAATAATCTCTAAATGGCATGACCTGAGGATTTATATGGAAAATTTAGCTACAGAGTAGTACTTTGTATTTCTCTAAATAGTAATTATTTCGGCCCCCTGAGAGCACATAGCAGGCATTTCTGAAACAAGTTGTTTTTTTTTCACTTGTGACAACACTCAACCTTCCATTTAGGATGAGAAGCCTAATCAAATTTCTCTGCAAGTGAGGATATGCTGGTAAAGAAAAAACGATTCTTAAACAAACAAATAACAATAAAATTTAGAAGTAATTTTAGTGAACAGTATTTAAAGAAAAATGTTATAGTCATGGTTTTGTTGTATTCAATATATTCCATAGAATACCATTTTCACTCCTTAATAATGCCTTTGGCTTTAATCATTTTAACTTTCACGTTGCCTGAATATGATCTTTGCACATGTTCATCATCTTTGCAAATTTAGTTGAAATATCTGCTATCACTATGATGGAGCTCTGATGGGTATAGAAAGAGGTAAATAATATAATCTTGAATGGAGAGCAAACATCATTTCCTATGTGGACATTAAAATGAAAGACAATTTAACAGTATTTCTTCTTCCAAATGAATATTCTTTCCTTTCAAAGTAGATTGTGTACATATTCACATTATCAATTTTTTTTTAAGATTTTATTTATTTATTTGAGAGAGAGACAGTGAGAGAGAGCATGAGCAAGGAGAAGGTCAGAGGGAGAAGCAGACTCCCCATGGAGCTGGGAGCCCTATGCGGGACTCGATCCCAGGACTCCGGGATCATGACCTGAGCCGAAGGCAGTCGTCCAACCAACTGAGCCACCCAGGTGTCCCCACATTATCAATTTTTTATTTTAAATTGTGAGATTCCTATTCAGAGTAATGGCCAATTTCCTAACCTTTTTATTTCAATAAAAATTACATTTTGAGGGCACCTGGGTGGCTCAGTCAGTTAAGCGTCTTGCTTTCAGTTCAGGTCATGATCCCAAGGTCCTGGGATCAAATTCCATATTGGGCTCCCTGCTCAGCAGGGAGCCTGCTGCTACCTCTCCCTCTGTGGCTCCTCCTGCTTGTACTCTCAATCTCTGTCTAATAAATAAATAAAATATTTTTTAAAAATCCTATTTTGAAAGTATCACTTTCTTTTTTTAAAAAGATTTATTTTTTTAAAGTTTTTTGTTTTGTTTTGTTTTGTTTTGGTTTTTGAGAGAAAGAGAGAGTGCACAGAGTGAGAGAGCACAAGCAGGGCCAGGGCAGAGGGAGAAGCAGATTCCCCACTGAGCAAGGACCTGAAACCAGACTCAATCCCAGGACCCTGGGATCATGACCTGGACCAAAGGCAGACGCTTAACCACTGAGCCATCCAGGTGCCCCTTATTTTTTTATTTTAGAGAGAGAGAGAGAGCACGTGTGAGTGGGGGGAGCGGGAAAGGACAAAGGGAAGGGGAGAGAGAGAGAATCTCAAGCAGACTCCCCATTGAGTCCAGAGTCTGAGACAGGGCTCAATCTCATAACCCTGAGGCCATGAGCTAAACTGAAATCAAGACTCAGAGGCTTAACCTTAATTGACTGACTGTGCACCCCAGATGCCCTGAAAGTATCACTTTCTTAAGAGTAAAATAAATGTAAGAAAATCCAACTCTAACATGTGCCATCTTTTTGACATTTTTACATAAAATTATAAATGTATGTTTGAATAGTAGATTTTCTCTGGCATTGATACAAAATTTTCATGTGGACTGTTTCCCTAGAAAATGGTTTTTGATATTCTCATCTATTTTCTCTGAAAAAGAAACACTTTTCTATAAATAATGATATTTGTAAATATATGCTACAAGTAATGATAAGATGTTATTATTTTATAAATATTTATCCAAAAATAATTAAGCATCTGAAGCTACTTACTCAGGTTCTGTTAGTGGTGTTGTTTCATTTGGCTCATTTACTGGGCTCCCATCCTCATGATTAGTGATTCTTTCATCCTCTGTCCTCATCTCCACTATTGGTTCTTTTGATCCATCTTTCCTAGAAAAATAAACAAACAAAAAAGCCTTATTCATGTAATGTAAAAATGGATGCATTATGAAACATAGTTTAGAATCTCCACTTAACCCCATCTCCCCTCACTAAAAACCAAACATGGTCAGATTAAGAATACCACTAATTTTTTTTTCCCATTAAAATTCATCTCACCCACATAATTTTCACTCAGAAAAAAAAAGAAAGGAGAAATTCCATTTATCTAAGATTTTTTTCATCAAAATTATGTTAATGTTTTACAGAAGTCCAAATTTTATTTTTTTAGTTTTTTAAGATTTTATTTATTTATTTGATAGACAGAGATCACAAGTAGGCAGAGAGGCAGGCAGAGAGAGAGGAGGAAGCAGGCTCCCTGCTGAGCAGAGAGCCCGATGAGGGGCTTGATCCCAAGACCCTGAGATCATAACCTGAGCCGAAGGCAGAAGCTTTAACCCACTGAATCACTCAGGTGCCCCAAGAAGCCCAAATTTTAAACGTGATCATGCAGTTTACTTTGGGAAATAAATAAAAAATATTATGTTATCGGAAATTATGACATGAAGTAGCTTTTCCCCCAACTAGCCATATGCTTTAGATTTTTTAAATTTGAAATACAACATCAGAAATATTGTTTCTATATTAAAATTTAAAGAAGATAAAATTATATATGAGACATTTCATTGCTTTAAGTGTTTCTATGAATTATATGAATGATTTTAACTATACTGTGATACTGACTTTACATATTCATGTTTTCAAGAAAATAGTTTACATAAAACAATATTATAACATATATGCATGATGTTTTTGTTTGTAATTTCAAATCCTTGTCATCATTATTGGATTTTTAAAATATGAGAATAAGTATAATTTTACATAATTGTGAAATTTTTGTAAAATTAGAAAGTTTACTGCAAAGTTTCATTCCTTAATAAATGAACAAAAAGAAAGAAAAATAAGGAAAGGATTTAGTGATGATAAAGGATAAAGTGAGATATAAGCATTGGGAATGATACCCTCATAATACAGATTATAATTAAGGAACACATACAAAAAAAACACAATGTAGGTCCTCACCTACTCAGGTACATAGTCTTACTATACAATCCTGCAACTGTACTCTAACAAATTTCCCAATGAAATGAAAACTTATGCCCATGTAAAAATCTCCACATTAATGTTTATAGAAGTTTTATTCATAATTGCCCCAAATTGGAACCAAGATGTCCTTCAACAGGTCAATGGATAAATAAACTGTGGTATACCCACACAATTAGATATTATTCAGCAATGAAAAGAAATGAGCCACCAAGCCACAAAAAGACATGGGAGAACTTTAAATGCATATTGCTAAGGAAGATAAGCCAGTCTGAAAAGGCTATGTACTATGTATTTCCAATTACATTGCATTCTGTAAAAAAAGCACAGTTACAAAGAAAATAAAAAGATCAATGTTTGCCAGGGGTTCAAAGTGAGGGAAGGAGGTAATGATGGAGCACTGGGCACATTAAATATATTTAGTATTGTAATGGTAGATATATGACATTAAAATTAGTTCTTAAAAATCAAGTATACTAGCAGTACACAACAAAGAAATCAAACAACAAAACCCCAACAATGGCACAGATCTTAAAAATGCTGACTCTGTAGGTCCTTCGCGTACATGCACATCGAAATCTGAAGAGTCAGTGTCAGTAGAAATGGAAGAAAATCTAGAACTCTATAATCCAGAATTGGTGGTGAACAACGTTTTATACCTCTAAAATGCAAATATTTGTGAGAACTGGCAATTAGGATATGTTCATCAACCTGAATAGGGACTCCAAGGAAGCAAGATCTCTACAGTAGTAAAGATAATTAAAGAGCCCACCACAATTAAATTTTAGTTTGATGATGTTTTGTTTGCTGTTGTTATTCTGCAATTGATTCTTTTAAACAATTCTTCATAATATCAATGCTATTAATGACATAGATGATGATACTCTTTGGAAAAATGTGGCTATTGATGATTCTGAGCAAAAAAGTGATTCAAAAGGTTGGATTTTATGTTTAATTATATTAACAACAGGTGCAGATCTATGGGTGTGGATTAAACAAAACAGAATGCAAAAAAAAAAGATGGCGGATTTGGATTTTAATTGTATACTCCTTATTGAAAATAATATGTAAGCAAACCACTTTAAACTGGAAATGATAAAATAGATATTACTAAAAGGAAGTTAAAGTGTTATAAGAGAACATGGTGAGGTGTCTTAAAATCCTTATTTTTGTTTTTAGTAATCTTTTACATTTTTAACTAACTGATCTATTCATATATTATAGAAATCTTGATACATAGAGAAAAGTATACCTCCCTGCCATTTCCTGTTTACAGGATATTTAGTTACCTATCATAAAGACAAGGACATTTTCAAATTGTGTTTTCCAGAGACATCCCTTCTATTCATATACTAGCATATATGCATACAAATGCAAGGAGTTATTTTTAAACAAATGGTACATACTGACTGAATATAATTTTGCCTTTTCAATGAACACTAGAATATTTAGAGCTGCCTCTTCTTTTTCATGGCACATACTATCCCATCGTATATATACACCACCATATATTTGGCCAGTGTCCAACCAACAGACATTTAGGATGTTTCCAATATCTTCTATTACAATAAATACTACAAGGAGTATTAAATGCATATTTTTTAAAGATTTTATTTATTTATTTGACAGAGAGAGATCACAAGTAGGCAGAGAGGCAGGCAGAAAGAGAGAAGGAAGCAGGACCCTGGGATCATGACCTGAGCCGAAAGGAGAGGCTTTAACCCACTAAGCCACCCAGGTGCCCCTGAAATGCATATTTTACTTGCCCTTAGGTGAAAATATCTGAGGCACACTAATAATTTATATGAGTCTAATTCCCATCCTTTAAAAATTATATTTAATCATACTTGAAGTGATATCAGAATTATTACTGATATTTTCTGTGGAATTATAAAAAGTGATAAAGGAATATTTTATTTAAATTGTCATAAAAATGTATGCCATGGTTTATGGACAATTCACAATGTACAGACTGGTAAAAACTAGACAAATTCCTGCAGGTTTCTAGAACTGATTATTAAGCAAGAAATGACAAGCACAGCAGAATAGTTAAGAGGATATGCCCTGGGACCAAACTAGCTGACTCTCACTAACTCACTGCATAAGCATTTCTCTGTCTTGTTGCCTGGATAGTAAACCAGAGATGATAATGACACCAAGTTAATTTCTATAGTTTTTAGAATAGTGCCTGACGTTAATTAAGCAGGACTTTGATTAAGCAAGACATTGATTAAGCAATTCTTAATAACTGTCTTCAGTATTCTAGGAGGGCAAGGAGGCAAGGAGGATTTAGTGTTAGGAAATACATTACTAAAACTTGCAACTTAAACAAATTGAGAGAAAACAAAATGAAAATATCTCAAAGCACATAAGAAATAAGTATTTATAAAATTCATAAATTTTGAAATAAAAATGGAAAGATTCATATAATTAATGGCATCAAAAGCAAAATTCAAACTTTGGGATAGACTGGGGAAAATATTAGCAACAAATACAACATCAAATAATTAAGGGTCACATTACATAATTAGAAAGTAAGAGAAAAGTTGAATAACTCCATGGACATGTGTGTAGAATACGAACAGGAAATTCCCAGAAGAGGGTCGCCTGGGTCACTCGGTGGGTTAAAGCCTCTGCCTTCGGCTCAGGTCATGATCCCAGGGTCCGGGGCTTGAGCCCTGCATGGGGCTCTCTGCTCAGTGGGGAGCCTGCTTCTTCTTCTCCCTCTCCCTCTGCCTGCCTCTCTGCCTACTCGTGAGCTCTGTCTGTCAAATAAATAAATAAAATCTTTAAAAAGAAAAAAAAAGAAATTCCCAGAAGAAATAAAGTGACCAAAGCGAAATCATAAAACAAATAAGTTCAGAATTTACCTGGATCAGAAAAATGAAAATTTTAAATGGTATCTTTCACTTATTATATTAAGAAATAAAAATAAATTGATAATATTTAATGTTTGAGAAACTATATAGAAATATATATTCTCTGATTTTATTAGGAATATGAATAAGTATAGCATTTTGTGGGCAATTTGTCAGTATTTTTCAATTTTGATTTACATTCCATGTCTAAGAACATAATGTACATTTACAACAAGATTTATGTAAAAGTTAAATTCAAACCACATATTGTACTTTAATACGATAAAATATTGAAAGTTTCACCCAAATTGTCATGAAAGACAAGGATAAATGTATTATGGTATTTGATATTGTGGGATACTACTTTATTCTGTGGATTTTTTTCCATCTTTATTCTCTTTGCTTTTTTGTTTTTTTAGAGAGAGGTGGGGAGGGCCAGAGAGTGGAAGGGAGAGAGACAATCTTAAGCAAGCTCCATGCCCAGCACAGAGCCCAACATGGGGCTCTCTCTCATGACCTGAGATCATGACCTGACCTGAATTCAAGAGTCGGATGCTTAACCCACTGAGTCACCCAGGTGCTCCTCTGTCTTCTTTTAAGTTTTGGTATCTTCTATTAAGATCTCTTCAAAGCTCAGAGATTCTTTCTTCAGCCATGTCTAGTCTACCAATAAGATCATCAGGGGCATTCTTCATTTCTATCAGGATCTTTTTGGTCTCTAGCATTTCTTTTGGATTCTTTTCCAGAATTTCCATTTCTCTGCTATATGGCCCATCCCTTCTTGCATGCTGTCCTACAGTGTTCTCACTATATTTATCATATACTTAAAAAAAATATTGATCTGGTAATTCCAACATCCCTGCCCTTTTTTGAATCTGGCCCTGATGCTTATCTTATCTTTTGCCTTGAGTATACCTTATAGTTTTTCTTGATATTGGGACATGATGTACAGTTTAGATGGAACGGCTAAGTATAGGCATTTAGTAATGTGGTGGTAAAGTGGGGTGTGGAGAGAGTGCCTTCAATAGTCCTGTCATTAGGCCTCAGTCATTAGTAAGTCTGAGCCCCTGGACTCTAAACTTTACAATTTCTTCTCAGGATCACTCCTCTGAAGTGAGTCAGGATGGCTGGAGTGGACTGGAGTCAGCATTTGCCTTCCCTCATGTGGCAGTAGAGGAAGCTAGTTTGTATATCTCTCTGTACATTGAAAAGCCAGTTTTTCACACACACACACACGCACATTTTGGCTAGTTACTTTCTATTAGTTTTCAATATTTTATTTCCTTTACAACCTAAGTCTAACCAGGAAAATCTTTTTTTTTTTTTACACGTAGCATTTATAACAAAAACTACTTATTTATTCATCCATTTGATTGTTTTTTAACTGATATGTGTTTCCCAGCAGAATAAAAGCTAGATGATGGAAGGGACTAGTTTGCTTTTCCTCACAGTTATATCTCTGTGGCTTAGAACAGTGCTTGACTATATAGGTGTTCAATAAATATTTATTAGCTCAAAATAATGCTTGGGTGAACAAGAGTATAAGCATAGTTTGATAAAGTAGAAATCATTCACCATTTTTATTAGATAAAAGAGAATGCAAGATAAATGTAAGTTTAATTTAAATTTATAAGAGTCAAATAATGGAATATTCTAGAACTTTACCTGAAAGACATTCTGTATGCCACTGACTTTAATTTCTCTTTTCTGGAACTTGATATTCTTTAAACAAAAGTATTCTAACTGTGTAATTAACATATTATATAATAAATCTGCATAGTCTTGTAATTGTGATAACATGAAAGTACTAGTCTAAGCATACTTCTGATCATATTTAGAGGCCAGTAGAGATCAATCCATCAAATCAGCTATATTCTATTTCCGATTGTGATTTTATATAATATTTTTGAAAAAAATATGTACAATATTTTTCTAATTCAAACAATGAATTTTTGAAAAAGAGTTGAAAAGTATTTTCCCAAAGCAGGGGAAATGATGTAAAAAGTTATGATGGATAACAAACACAGAATGAACTCCATGCTTTCATCTTCCCAAGGCTTTAAGGTTAATTAAACCCAGCAGGACCCACAAACCAAAGTGTTGATGGATAAATTACCAATTAATAGAGTGAAATAAAAATAAATGGCAGAACTTGAATATACCTCATTATTTTGCACATAGTCACCAATATCCCTCCAGTTAATTAAGAGAAAAGCATGATTTCTCTTTCTTTCACCCTAAAGTCAAATCAATCAACAGTAGTTGACTCTACCTCAGCTATCTCTAGACTCCATACATTTGTATATGGCCACAGTACTACTACTTTGGTCCAAAAGAATATAATTTTTTACCTGGAGTATTTCAAGATCCTCCCACTCACTCTTTCTGATTCTAAATCTTTCCTCTATACCTATCAACCTTCCAGTAATTCATTTTTCAAAAGTAGCTAAAGTAATCCTTAAACACTTATTGGGAATGCCCTGGTCGCTTAGTCAGTAAGTGTCTGACTTTTGGTTTTGGATCGGGTCATGATCTCAGGTTGTAAGATCAAGGTCTGGATGGAGCCCTGTGCTCAGTGTGGAGTTTCCTGGGGATTCTTTCTCTCTCCCTCACCCTCTTCCCTCTTCCAGCTCTCTCTCTCTCAAATAAATAAAATCAATATATCAATCTATACATATATATATTTTTCCCTCAATTTGTGAAAAAGAAACTAATATTGAGTTTGGTATATATTTATTTAGTTAATAAAACAATGTAAAAGCATGGCAGGTAATTAAAAAGCAGACTTTGTTCTAATGAGGAAAGTAGGAGATACTGGATTATGAATTGATCCCACTCTATTTGCTATGGCACACATTACTATTCCATTCAAATGTGAAGTAGAGCCTGATTTCTGTTTGTTCTTTGTCATGTTCTGTGTCCAAAAAGTAAGTAGGTGGCATTTTGATTGTGAAATGAATCTAATGTTTTTTTGAAATGAAAATGTAGGTTACCTAATTTAACATCCCATGAAGTGAAAATATCCCTTATAAAGAATCCATAAGAAGTAGTCATGGACAAATTGTGTAGTAGGATTGAAATAGGCTTAGAGATATAAACAAAACAAACAAACAAACAAAACAATGCAGCTTGTAAAGAATAGATTCTCCTATACTGCTAAGCCTAGAAATTAAGGCACGAGGTTCTACATGCCTAAATGTATGTACAGAAAAACAAATAGAAATGACTTAACAATAAAAATAAATGACTTACTGATAAACAGAACACCATGATTGAATCTTAAAACATGACTGAATGAAAGAAGCTAGACACAAAAAGAGTAAACATTACAACAATCAATTTCTATCAAGTTCTATAAAGCTAAAAGTTATTTATGATGAAAAAAATCAGGATAGTAGTTCCCTGGTACAGGGGGAGGAATATGAGTTGTCTGGGTAGAAACATTAGAGAAATTTTAAGGATGATGCTAAGTTTCTGAATTTTGGTAAGGCTTAGGTTATACAGATATGAACATTTGTCAAAACTCATCGAACAGAATATTTTATGCATTTTACTCTATGCAAGTTTTACCTAAAGAAAACATTAACTAATTTTGAACTGTGTAGGGGTTAAGTGTATGGATACCTTTGAAATGCGAAAAGTAAAATAATGGATTGAGGAACAGATAAATATGGGAAAAGAGAAATATAATGAATTATTTTTATAGAATCCAAGTAGTTGATAAATGGTTGTTGACTATAAAATTCTTTTAACTCTTTTGTATGTTTTAGACATGTTACAGAAAGAGTATAATATTTAAAAAGTAGAGGAAATGTTCTTAATTCTTAAGAATAGTTTTTTTTGGTTATAGGATTAATATACACACATATGTATATGTATACAAACACACATACACATTGTGTGTTTATATTACATGTGAGTGCGCATGCTCTCCTGTGCCTTCTAACTTTTTTTTTATTGAGCCTATTGTACTTTTGAGATTAGATTAATATCTAGCAAAACACCACCGAACAAAACAAAAAGTATTTAAACCTCCTAGTTGCCCTTTTACATGAGAAAGGACTTTTCTATAGAATTCAGCTCTATGTATATTTTTTTGAATTCATATTCTAATTGAATGAGATGCCACAGAGAGAGTGCGAAATTCTAACATATAGTCAGCTTTTGATCAAAATTTGGAAGATTAAGTACAGAATCCATACTAATGTATTGCATAGCTCATCCAACATCTCTATACAACCTTGAAACTTCTATGTAGTATCTCCTGCACTTGAAGGAATTGCCATAATTTACATTTTTACTCAATTTACCCGTTTTTAACTCAGATTACTGCTGGTGTCCTTCTTTTATTCAGTATAAACTGAAAAATGGTAGGAGAAATCATAAATACATTTGTACCACTGTCTGTATTTCTATTTTTTTTTTCTATTTCTATTTAAATCATAACAGTAATTATTTTTTTGGTGTGCATCCCATTTTTAGATTTATTTCTTAATAGTCTGTTTTCAAAAGCATTTGGCTCTCTAACATGTTATATTTAAGGTCATATAGGCTTAACTCAGCAAGCAGACAGTACAGTGTACAAGGGTCTTAGAGCCAAGCTCTTTACTCTGCTCAGAAAAAAAGTACGCGAAGAAAGTATGCAAGCTTGACTATGGCACTCGTTTAATGTAACGCGCTGCGAATGCTACTTACAGGTATGCGGCTTTGCCTTCTTCGAGTTCTTTACTTTTCCCACTAGAGCCACTTTTCTTCCCGCACATTCTCCTCGTGATGCACATCAATAACCCACATTGTCTAATAAAGAAGCAGCTGACGTCCGTTACCACAAGGATTAGCAAGAGAGCCGCCACGCCCAGGCCAATGACTGCTCCAAGCCCAAGACCATTAAAAAGGGTATCTTAAAAAATAAAAGAAAATAATTTTACTAAGCTCCAAATGAGAAAAAAAAATAGACAGTTATTTTGAAAATAAATCTAAACGAAAGAGATGGGGAAAAAGTGATAATCACTGGCCCATTTTAATTTCATAATTGTTGGAAACCATTCTGTGGCTTTCAAACAGTATTTTAAGTAATTGACATGTGAATGATTTGCAATATGTTTTCAGACTTCATTTAGAAGTAGCTCTGAAGTAGCTCTCTTTCCAATATCCTTCTTGATTCCCTGAAGGGAATATAATGAATATTATCACATCCCCAGCTGTACTCTATCAGAAAGTCACAACCACTAATGGATCATCACATTGTTAAAAGTAAAATATAGTCAAAACTCCTGTAAAAGAAGATTAAGTAAATGTTCTATATGGAATTATCTTAGCTTTAAGTCTTAAACTTGCAAACTATGTGTGCTCTAAGCACTTTGTTTTGACAGAGAACACATTTTAAAAATCTCTATATTTTGAAATATTTTGAAAATCATCACTTTAGAACAAATAGTTTACTTGCATTTTTTTCAGTTAATATTTTCATAAATCATATTAGAAGAGAGGCAAACATTTACAGAACTATGATGCTTATGACCTTTCTGAAGCATATCGTGGGAAGATAGGGGATGATGGGAGTCATTTTTCCTTGACAGGTAGTTGCAAGAACTCCTGCAAGTAATACAGAAATTATCCATGAAAGGGATGACTGGGAGTAGGATGGAATATGCTGACTGACACAGTAGAAATGGCATAAAGGACAGTGGTAGTGAAAATGAATGAAGTGTTTTATAACTATAGTTGAAGGTAAGTGTAGACTACACAGCCACAGCTGTGTTGGCACAAAAATAAGCACCATGGAAAGAGGTTAAACTGGTGATACTGTGTTATCTAGAGGGAAGAAAAAGAATTCCTATAAGATAATTTTAGAGAATGACACCTTTAAAAAAAATTATTTATTTGACACAGAGAGAGAGTACACCCAAGCAGGGGGAGTGGCAGGCAGAGGGAAAGGGAAAAGCAGGGTTCCTGCCTACTGGGAAGCCCCGCATGGGGCTCCATTCCAGGACTCTGGAATCATGCCTTGAGCTCAAGGCAGATATTTAACCCACAGAGCCACCCAGGTGCCCCTATTCAAAATGATTCTTAACCCAATTGGGTTAGCTTTTGCTTACATAACATTATAAAATTATAATCATCTTTTTAAATGATAAAATACATTTATTACTTAGCATCATAATAGCATACTAAGTATGTAAAATGTGTGTAATACAAGTGACAGGGAGAGATGTAGACTTCATTTGGAAAAAATCACTTCTGATAAAATACATACGCAAAACAAAGTTTTTCTAAGTTATATTTTTAGAATTCAGTGTAACATTTGAATAATGAAAAGATCGTGATCTGAAGGAATCAGTATAACTTTTTATTTCAAGTCAACAAGCTGGTGCTGAATGATGACACACCTGTCTGAATCCTAGTTGATTTTTCCACCAAATGACTGAGCCTCACATCTATATTTGTTTTAGTTTTATTCCCAGGAAATACATGTTTTATTAAAAAAATAAAAAAGAATCATTATATCTGTGACATGGTTCCTGGCACTTTCCCAAGGCGACCTTGTGGTTGACCTGTGCTGGAACATGGAGGTGCTTCTGTAGCATCTCCGTGAAGTTGCAGGTGAGAATTCCTTAAGGATCTTATCAACACACTTAAAACTTTCATGCCCAAGCAAATATACTTTTGATTATAATTCTTTTATTTCTGATAAAGAAAAACAGGAAAAAACATGTGATTGTGTTGGAGGAAAATTAGTTTTTTCCTGCCATTCTCAGAATCTCCATTCCCCATCATACATTATCATACTATTTAGGAATATTGCCCAGCTAAGATATATTAGTCCAGCTATAATATTTAGGAATATTGCCCAGCTAAGATCTAGAGAAATTACTAGTTTCCATAGCACTGATCTCTTATCACATGAACCCACTTTGAGGGAAGACTGGAGACAAAAGTATTTTCCAACCATGGGAATTGTTGTTGTTGTTGTTTTCTGCAAAGTTCCAATATACAAATGGAGAGTGAGAGTCTAAATGTTATTTATCAATTTTCAAAGATATATATATAGGTAAGATTGAAAAAAAACCCCTAGTGTCTCATGCTATAAAAATAATATATTAAGCAAACCAGGCTTTTAATAATTAAAACAATCATTTTATACATTTTATTCCATTATCCACTTTTAAATAAAAATGATTCTTACCTGAATGTACCATTACAATATAATAAGGACAATTCACCTATGAAATTTCTTTGATTGCATGCAAAGCTAAAAATTATTTTCAAAATCCACAGGAATTCATTTTTATATATTGCACATGATTCAAAAACCAAAGCTCAGAAAAGAGTTGAATTTACAAATCTGATTGGGATTAGACCCTCTGGACATATTGACTGAATGACCCTCTGCTTTAAACTACTCACTTCTCTGCTACTTCATTTAGGTTCCTCTCACATGCAGAATGGTTCTAGGCAATAAATCCCACCCATCAATGATGATCTCCCTGGCCCATTATTAGATCTTCATTTGCTTTCTTTTTTTCTTTTCTTTCTTTCTTTCTTTCTTTCTTTCTTCCTTCCTTCCTTCCTTCCTTCCTTCCTTCCTTCCTTCCTTTCTCTCTCTCTCTCTCTCTCTCTTTCTCTTTCTTTCCTCTTTCTTTCTTTCTTTCAATTCAGGCTCCACACCCAACATAGAGTCCAGTGCAGGGCTTGAATTCAGGACCCTGGGATTAAAACCTGAGCTGCCCAGTCATCCCTTTATTTACTTTTTTTTTTTTTAAGGATGAAGAGAATGGATTTCTACTTGAATGCTCTAAACCTGATGTCCTTGGGTGAGGCTGCTAACTTCTCTAAGACTGAGATGCCACTTTATTAAAATGAGGAAAATTACAGAAACAACAACAATCACAAACTAGATCATGGGGTTATTTGAAAGACTGCTGTGAATATAATAATGTACCTAATACCTCTAGCACTTATTGCCCAGCACAGAGTAAAAATCTAACAAGTATTGGCCGTATTATTATTGTTGTTGTTGTTGTTGTTATTGCTGCTACTATTATTTTGCTAGTGTAAAATTCTAGGGAAACGAGTTTTGGTGGAAAAAAAAGACCATCTAAAGTTAAACTAGTCTACAAACATATTTCTTTCATCAGCACTCTAATGTGGGACACTTTCTCTTATTAACCATTTATTAGTCTCTTGGAAATACAGTAATTTTTACTTAGGCTTAGCTAGTTAGCTTTTAAATGATAAATATTTTATTTATGACCTTTTAGCATTAAACTGGTATATTGATCTGTTTCATCTCCATCTTTAGAAAAGCTCTTAGAAACATATTCGTAAAACACCTTATGGTAAAAGAATACTGATACTAAAATAGCTATTACATTTTTTTCTAGGGAAACAAAATTATACCTTTTTAACTCATGATTATAAATGTTGCAGGTAACTTGAAGGTATTTTTATGGAAAATCAAGTATTTCTTGTCATTGCAGAGAATAGAATGTATAGCAAATAGGCTTATGTAATAGATTTGTAATTTTCTTTTGAAAGTTATGGCTTTTTTTAAATTGGTTTAAGAATGTACTTAAATGGTAATATTTTCTAACAGCTCATGAAGTTAGGCTATAATAACTATGAAAGCCAAATTTTCTAATGTTTTTATTTTATTTTTATTTTTTCTGCCACCTATTTATTCTGGTGGGGAAATGAACTTATCGTTAGCTTTTTCACAAACAAAACCATGACTACATGTAAAATTATATCACTAGGTTTTTTGGGGGGACTAGCAATGGTTTATTTTTCAGTAACATACAGAAAATACTTTCTAAGTTAATTGCAGTTTTAATATTTGAAATAATTGAAACTGAACATAGCAATCATTTAAAGGATTTTAAGTTCAACTTTTCTTTTTTAGCTTTCCAGAATATTTACACATATGCTTTACAATATATGATATGTTATGATAATGTTTACAACTCCATTACACAAGAAAACAATGTTATCAGCTCTACTTTACAGATAAGGAAACTGAGGTCCAGAGAGTACAAATTAAGACTATTTGACTTCAGCTTTATATTGTTTATACCTGTGTTAGATGTATTTTGTAGATCATCAAATAATCAAGAGAGGAATAACATAGTAAATAAAATGTGTAGTTTTCTTACAGAAAATGTCCATTTTTTCCCCACACTGTTAGAGGAGGAAGAACTATTTAAATGATGTAACAATATAAGTCATTTATTTATGTATTCTTTCTATTAGCTCTCTTTTTAGTGATCATTTTGTATTATTCTTTGAAAAAGGGGATTTTATATTAGAATTTAATGAAAAATAAGAATTATAAAGTTTAAACATCTATTTTTTGGTATATATTTTATTATTGAAAGCAAATAGGAGAATCAGGCTGACTGAATTTGTATAATTCCCCTCCCACCTGACCTTCTATTCCATGAAATTTAGAAATTGGCAAGCTGAACTAATACAAGTCCCCAACACTTAAGCAATCATATCCTAAGTGAAATAAATACATAAAATCAAAGCATTAAAATTAAGAAAAAAGAACTTCATTGTAAATTTGTCACATGCATGTCTTCATGTTTCTGCTATAGAAATTAACTCACAACTAAAACACTGAATTAATTTTCCATGAAATGTATTACATTTGATAATACTAGTTTTTCAAAAATCTGTATGCTATATTCATAAAAGCAGCCTTGCTTTTTTGGCTCCTTAAATAATTTAGCATTTTATTTATTTATTTTTCCAATGTGTACATATAATCGTTTCCAAGTAGATTAATAATGACTTTCAGACTTGGAAAAGTAATAAAAACACGAAGAAAAAAATTCGTTTTTAATCTAATAGGTCCTAAAAATGGAGATTTCATTTTTCCTCCCAGAATAGTGGTAGTTA